GGGTCCTGGGAGCCGCCAGAGGAGCCGGTGCCGCTGCTGGACGAGGCGTTGGCAAAGCTGAGCAAGGGGAGACCCGGAGAGACGGCGCCGTGAGAACCGCAGCCCGGACAGCTGCCCATGGGAAGGCCACGGCCCAGGGCTAAGAGCTGGCAGTGCCGCCCCGTGGGCTGAGACATGCAGCGGGGCTGCCAGCCCCAGAGGGCAGGTACCTGGCCGGGGGTTCAGGCACCTGGGGGGCAGCCCCGTCCCTGGCACTTACTAGGCATCCGAGCCCTGCCCGTAGGCCGCCTGGTAGTTCTGGAAGAGGCTGTTGGTGTAGCTGAGGCAGTGGGAGTGGCGGGCACCGTAGGGGTTGGTGGGCGAGGCTGGGTAATGCCCAGACCGCACCGGCTTGGCTGAAAGGGAGAAATCACCGGTCATGGGGCGCCGGGAGGGGGCAGACGCAGCTTTTTCTGGCTGAACCAGGCCGGCTGGGGACAGGGATGTTAAAATGCGGTTGAGTGACTAGTCGAGGGAGTTTCCACCGACTCATCGACAGGCACGTCCGGGTTCCGCCTTTGAAAGGTACAAGAGTCCCGGCCGGACCCCCGCGGGGCTCTGGTCCGTTTCAAAGGGGTCATGGGGCGCCGGGAGGGGGCAGACGCAGCTTTTTCTGGCTGAACCAGGCCGGCTGGGGACAGGGATGTTAAAATGCGGTTGAGTGACTAGTCGAGGGAGTTTCCACCGACTCATCGACAGGCACGTCCGGGTTCCGCCTTTGAAAGGTACAAGAGTCCCGGCCGGACCCCCGCGGGGCTCTGGTCCGTTTCAAAGGGGGAATGCGGAACTCAGCCTGCAGGGGCCAGGGGGAGGTCCCGCTGAGTCCGGGCTGCACTGCACCCGGGTGCCTGCTTTGAAATGCACAAGAGTCCCCAGCGCCCAGGGTCAGCGGAGGACTCAGAGTCCCCAGCTGACCCCGGGCTCCATGCGGCGCTGCTGCTTTGAAACGCCACAGGGAGCAGGGGGCCAGTGAGGGACTCAGTCAGCCCCCCGCCGGCCCCGTGCTCCCCGCAGGGCTTTTGCCTTTGAACCCAGGGGCTGTTGCTACACTTCAAAGGCAGAAGCGGCCTTATCGACTATTCGATTCGCCGATGAATCTGAAATCGACTGGTCAACAGACTCTCCAATAAGCAAATGCTTCTGGGATAGTCGGCCAGGTTTTCACATCCCTACTGGGAAGCGCCCGGCCCTCAGACAGCGGGGGAGCGCCCTGCCCTTGGCTCCGGCTGCACTGGCTCAAGGGGCCGGGGCGGGCGGCGCTCACCGATCTGCGCCGTGTGGGGGGGTGTCCGTGCCTGCTCCCATGGGACGGGGGCCCCCCGAGCTGCCCCAGCCCCCGGGCGGCGCTCACCGATCTGCGCCGTGTGGGGGGGTGTCCGTGCCTGCTCCCATGGGACGGGGGCCCCCCGAGCTGCCCCAGCCCCCGGGCGGCGCTCACCGATCTGCGCCGTGTGGGGGGGTGTCCGTGCCTGCTCCCATGGGACGGGGGCCCCCCGAGCTGCCCCAGCCCCCGGGCGGCGCTCACCGATCTGCGCCGTGTGGGGGGGTGTCCGTGCCTGCTCCCATGGGACGGGGGCCCCCCGAGCTGCCCCAGCCCCCGGGCGGCGCTCACCGATCTGCGCCGTGTGGGGGGGTGTCCGTGCCTGCTCCCATGGGACGGGGGCCCCCCGAGCTGCCCCAGCCCCCGGGCGGCGCTCACCGATCTGCGCCGTGTGGCCGCGCTTGGTGGAGTTCTTGTACCGCACGGCCTCCTTGATGCGATCCACCTCCTGCTGGTAGCGCCGCTTGTCCTTCATGGCCCCTTCCTTGGCCTCCCTCAGTGCACCCTCCAGGGCTCCAGCTTCGGAAGCTCACAGCGCAGATCTGCATTGTCACGAACCAGCTGGGGGGGCCCGAGAGACAAGGGGGCTGTGGGGGGAGGCCAGAGGAGACCTCCCCCCGCCCTCCGCAGGGAGCGCCCTCCGCAGGGAGCCACGGCACGGCTAGCCCCATCTCCTCCCTTCCCCCCAGCAGCAGGCTAAGGAATTACCTGCCCCAGGGGGCTCCCCCACTGGTTTGGGGCAGGGAATGGGGGGTTGCAGCCCCTCGCGTGCCATCCGGATGTGATCCTACCCCCTCTGCTCCCTGGTCCGAAGCCCCCCAAGCTCTCAGCCTCAGCCCCCTCCTGCAGCAGGCAGTTCCACAGATCCATCCAGCCTCACAGCAGGGCAGGGATTCCCATGCAGAGGGCCGCTGACAGGGCAGGGGTGGCCCAAGAAAGGGAGGCCTGTGGAATGCCAGGGGCTCCAGTGTCTGCCACCCTTCTCTCAGCCTCTGCTGCTGCCCCCACCCTGCCAGCACCATGGGGTCACGGGCA